TGAAAAATGTCCGTACACCATCTCAAGTTTCCTTTGTTGAGGTGATCGAAATCTTGACAGGCTCGAAACTTGAGACAGGCTGTGATCTGCAACTGGGGCACTGCAGCGCAACATCGTGCGTTCGGCAAAGCAGTTTACCCCCTCAAGTGTCTGTGCCAGCAAAGTGCGCAGGCGTGGACAATCTTAAGACCCATTTTGAATCACATCGTGCCAACGCTGGAGAGGAGGGTGCGGCTGAGGGGAGCTGACAAAAAGAGATCTTGTCAGACCTCAAGCCTGTAATACCTTCAGTCTGATCCCACGACAGAAAGACCCACATGGCTCAGGATTTGCTCGAGCAGCTAGACGAGGAGGAGCGAAGGGAAGAGGCTGACCGCTCCAAACCGACACCTGGTCTGAAGTTGTCGGGTAGTGCAATGATTGCATCATTGTTCACAAGTGCAAACCACAAGCCAGATGCCCTGTGCACAGCACAACAAGGTGGTGGGGACAACAGGTTCTGCAAAAATGATACTCCACTGATGGGAAATGATACTCCAGTGATGGTTAAGTTCACACCTCCGAGGCTGGTGCTGCACGACGGGCGGCAAGACCATGATGCTGACGTCAGCGGATGCTCTCCCACTTCTGTTCCGGCTTTCGTTGGCTGCTCTTTGGTGCACTTCGCTCTACATGCTCCCCACTTGTTTCAACCAAGGATGTACCCGGCTGCTGCTGCATGCCGCGAAACCGGACGTCGCACAGGCGATTGCCTTTTGTGGACTCCCGCTACTGGCGCCTTGCCTGCAGCATTCGATCGCCTCTGACGCGCCAACATGTCGGGTCAGCCATGTTTTTTTCCTCGCAACTCTTGCACTTGCTGCATGTCTCAGCAAGGCAGGCATTGCTTATCCATGTTTATCCGAAGCAGTTACAGCATGTTGGAGCATGGGGCTTCAGCGGCTGCAGAGCAGGTGCATCCTGTGCTCGAGAGCCTTTTCGCTGACGAGCCGTTGGAGGAGGCAAAGTCAAGCTGCAGACCACAGTGGCCTTACTTAGCTGCACTTTGAAATTTGAGATGTTAGTCATTTTCCATCATGTCTAGCTTGTTTCAAATTGAGCATAGTCGCACAGGCGCTTCATCAGGTGCAGGGCCGAATCGGCCACGTGTCCCCAGCAAAGCTGCTGGAGGAGTTTCCATGTGAAGCAGCCCTTCAAGGGGACAAGACTGCACGTTGCATTTCACCCGATGTCCCAAATAGACAGCTGCTGGCCGGCCCGACGGTTTCCTGCCATGCAGCCAGCCCCTGAGGTTTCTGCTCAAGGGCTTGGGTTCGTACCGCTCGATTGCAACGCCAGAAGGAGCTCAATGAAGCAGAAGCGAGCACCCTTCAGCGCGCCAAGGAGTCATGAATCTGATATCTTTGAGTCGTCCACAGCCTTCGCTGCATTCTTGCCAGGAGCTGTCCGAAGGAAAGCTGGCGCAAGAGGTCGTACAGTTGGACGGCTGGCGCAAACAGGCTCTTCAGTCCCCAAGAGTTTTTTTGAAAGAGCTGTTTTGAAACTAGCTCTTCCATGAGCAGATGTGTGCTGAGCATGACACGGAAGCAAGCCAAATCCAGGCTGAGTCAAAGTCATGTAAACCACAACCGCCTCAAAGGTTTGGGAGTTCTAGCATCCCTCCTATTAGCATTGCGAAATTGGGTGCCCCGGGGTCCGGATAAAACGTTTTACTTTGCTTTATCCTCAAACTCCCCGGGGGCCCCCATTTTACAGAGGAGAGGATTTGGGGTGGTCCAGGCACCCCATTTTACAGCGCATCCAGGCGTGGGGTTCCCGCATTTTACACTAGCCTGTAATTGCGGTAGCCTTAAGCCAATAACCCAATCCTAAATAACATGATCACGTTTTGTTTAGAACTCCTCTGCGCAATTTACGCATAAGATGAATGTATCCTTTCAGACGATCACCATCCTTCAACATCCTTCAACATGGTGTTCATATGGTATGCCTTTGTAATGGAGATACTCAGGAGATCAGACGATTTCTATGTTGAAGCCATGTTTCCTGTAGCCACAGTCTGGTGGCGTCATTTCTGATTTGGAACATGTAGCCGCTACACCTCACTGCTCCACCCCGTTTCTGAGCATGTGGAAGCAACATATCAAGTCATCTCATGGCGCTCACAGACATGTGCACGCAGAAGTTGCGACGATGCAACCAAGAGGCTCCCCGTTGCTAGGTGGCAGCCAGATTGGAGTTGCTCGAGAAGCATTTGGCACTCGCGATGTTAGGACCTATAGTGCAGACCAGTCACAGTCTGTCAGAGTTCAAGGATCAGGAACAACGCATATCAGACATGTCAGACTTTGGAATAGGTCCAAAGTCAGCTCACAACCTGAAGGAAATAGTCTGCAGTTAAAGGATGTTGGCATAGTAAGTATCTAGGGGTAGCTGCATACGACGGAAATCTCTGTTGGCACCAGAGCCGCAGGACTGGCGCAGTCAGCTGACAGCGTCGCCGTCACAAAGGCTTTCAAGCGCCGTGCTGTGGAGCTGCATCCTGACAAAGGCCGATGTTGTCGTGGCTGCTTAGCACCAGCAGCCTGCCATTATGGTTCCACATTTCCCTGCAGGAGGCGACCATGAGGAATTTCAGCTACTCCAGCAAATGAAGGATGTTTTGCTGGGTTCTAAACACCCGGGCGTGGATGTGGATGAAGCTGGCGTCAGCACGATGCTGAGCAGCAATTGGCAAGTCAATCAAAAGCAATTGACATCAAACAACCCCAAACTCGCGCATTTGCTACAACGGTCGTGGCAGCCAGGGTGGCGAAAAGAGCTGGTGTCGACGTGCCTGGCGACTCCCAAGACACAGATGACGAAATCGACAATCTACTTGGCAATCGAGGCAATGAAGTAAAGGCAGCCCCAAGCCGTGCCAGTCGCCACTGAGCTGCAGTATGTGACTTTGGCTCGAGGTGTTCATGGAGGGATCACAGGTCGCAACCAGACTCGTTTTGTTTGTGCGCAACCCACCATCATGTTCCGATCAAGCGGGGAATGTTGAACTGGAGCAGCTTGGGGGCATGTATTGCAGAATTTTTGCGACTGAAGGCCCCGACTCAATACATAGGAGCCATCAGGTGGCCTAAAGTTTTTGCTGCATGGATGACCTTATCAAGCTGAAGTAAGCTGTTCCCAGTTGGCATGTCTCCAAACGAATGTAGGCATCATGTAGATGCTGGATCCTGGATTTGCAAAGAGGCAAGGCGCAGTTGGAGTCGAGCCGCATCAAGCTGCACCAAGCTGCGGCTTGGCTGGAAGATTTTTCAAATTTTCACGGGATACACATGAAGTAAGTTCCGGCTCATTTCAGCTAGTGATCGGCTCAAGAGGTTAAGTCGAAGTCCTCCGCTCTGCCTACATCTGCCAAACAAACTAGAGATGCAATAAGCCAGGTTCCCTGAGCGTCCGCTGCTGACGAGTTAAGGTTTCCCTCTCCTGGTCCCGTTGCGGAGAGCTGTGCTCGCAGCTATCCAGATATACGCAGGTCGGACAAATTGAAGAATTGCAGGAGGGTCACGTGGTGGCTACAGTAGCTCTGCCCACGCAGGGCATGCAGGTCTGTGAACGCCACTGTCACAGGACAGTTAGGCAGGATGTTTCTAAACTGTCGTCAGGCGATGCCTTGCACCATGTAGCTCATATAGCTTGGATCCCACGGGCAGCGATCCAGGGGATGAAGAGTTGCAAGGGCTCGTAGGGAAGCAGCTGGCATTTAAGCACGGTGTGCCATGCGGCTTCTGGCATCTCTGTTTGGAACGCTACTCGTACCTTCAAATGGATTTGTTGCATTCATGGCTTTCCGCAACCTGTAGTTGGCCAAGCCATCCATGCCGTTCATCTGCTCCAGGCAAGGCAAGACACGCAGCAAGAAGTTCGAGCATCTTTGCAAGCATTCCTCCTCAAATTTGAGAAGGAGCCCAGTGCGTAGAGGAAAAGCTTGTCAGGCATTTGCACGCGATTACTCGTTGTCCACCATGCGGTGCTTGGGACAATGTCAACCCACATCAAGCGCCAAGCCCATTTGGATACTCATCATACTGTTCTGCCTTCTTCCATAGCTTATAGTCGAAGGTTCTCTGCTTATCAACTCTTACTTGTGGTTCTCGATAACACTTTTGCGGCTGTTTGCCAGCAGGCAGCATGCACTCAGCTGCGAGGACGCGGCTGACGTGCGCCGGGCACCAGACGGCTCGCGGCTTGGCTTGTTCGTTGCGCAAGGCCAGCTGCACTCGTTCCAGGGAATTGAAGTCGGACAGGCAGTGCAAGTATGTGCAACTGCTGCAATACATTGTCAACAGGACGGAATTTCCGTCCGGTTGCTTTTCCTGACAGGCGCGGAGTTCTTGAGCGCTGCCGCAGTGCTGGATCCTGAGGTTCCTGGCTTGGAAGGGCATAAGAGTCTTGCCTGATGGGTGGGCCACTCCGTGACTAGTAGCAGGAGTTTCTAACGCGAGGACTTGAACCCAGAACGCTGCAGCACATTGTCTGGCCATGCCATCAGCAACATGTCTGTCTGTTTTCGAAGGACGTCGGCACTCACTCCCATGATTTTGCTACGACCGGCCAGAGTCAGTATTCTGCGCAGGGAACCGCAGCTCTCCTGGTGCAGAGTGGCTGCACTGCAGAGATCCAGCAGCACGATGGATGGCCCCGTTTGATTTTTGGCTGCACACTTGCAAATGAAAAGACTCTTGTCTTGTGGCTTGGTCTTTGCAAGAAAGAGCAAGGGCAAGCACAGATGCCAATTGAGGCTGGAAGCATTGCGGCAGCTTCCATCTCAGGTGCTGATCTCAAAAGGGATAGGTTGGAATTTGAGTTCTGACGAGAGACGCCAAAACCTCAGGCTTTCATGTGGTTGTGTCAAGACATGGGGGAATGACAGGTACAAGGTTTTCTGACTGCAGTTAGCCGACTTGGCCACGCCAGTGTCTCCGCAGCAAGCCCGGCAGAAGATGCACAGCTTGGCAGCTTGATCCAGATTTTGAAGAGACACTTGGACAGCTTGTGAGAGCAAAAGCTGTTCAGCGATGCATGCAAGGCACCTCCACGCTCGTTCCCCAAAAGAGCGCCTTGCAGGCGGAGGCAATGAGGTTTCAGGGACGGGCTTCTTGGCAGATGCAGGTACATGCACATAATTGCACATACACGTGTAAAGGTATATGTATATGTTTGAACAGGCTTGTGTGGGGGCTTGGCCATGGAAACCTGCAGGCTCGTGCGAGATGCTCAACCGTTTTTCCTTTCAATAATATGCAAGCTAAGCAAGACCATGAAACTCAGTTTTGTAATAGCTTTGTTTTGTATGTTCAGGTCTGGTCCCTTCGAGGCTGCAGCATTTTGCTTAAGTTGTTCTTCCGAAGGACGACAGGGAAGCTGCCACACTTGCCACAGCCCCGAGATCTGAGCGTGCCCCCACGCTGGCAAGTTGTGGCTCACAGCCACACAAGGCAGGAAACTCGCCCGCACTTAACAAGCAGTCACTGTTACTAGGCCACAGAAGAAGCCACTTTGGTTGCACTGAATGGGGCATAGTGGAAACCAGGATGGGCTTGATGCGGGAAGCCTTTGCAAACAGACAGATTTCCCTGACTCAAATATATGGGCCGATCCTGCCTCCCTCCTGCTCAGGATGTGTTTGCACCAAGTGCTTGCGTCGGCGCTGGGGCTTCAAACAAGCTGCTGGTGCCGCCGGTGGAGGGTACGTTGGGTTTGCGTGAAGCAGCGCACCACAGGTCCCGGCTTGGACTTCCACCATTCAGGGCTGAGGGTTGCCACGTGACATCCATCTCCAACCCGCTCTTGCCGGACAACTTTGCCAAGGCGGGACATTCTCTGGGACTTGGATCCTTCAGCCCACAACGATCTTGGAGCTTATACTTGGTCCCTCGAGTTTATCACCTGTCAGGATGAGAAGCCGCCAACGTGGAAGACTGCAGCTCTCCGCGGCCAAAGCTAGCTGGGAAGAGCTGTCGCGCATGATGCCACAGAACGGCACGCGTGGAAATTATAACTTCGAAAAGTGTGTTAGTCTGAGGGCCGCAAATCCGACAATGAGCAATTAGAGCTTGTCACCTGTCGCCAGTATCTGCCTGCAACCCGCTCCCTCCATGGCCTGAGGATTCAGTCACCCTATGCGCTGGCATACTTCGGCGCGGGCACCCAGCTGCTAAGCGTACCTCCGCAACAGTACAGCAGACTTGCACAGAACGCGTCTGACTGGCTTCCTATGACTCTTTGTCCCTTCAGGGGCGGATGCCCAAGAGGACACCAATGAGGAAGAGGCTTGGCCTATGGTTGCTGGGTAATCCTTTCAGATTCCTGCGAGCTGCGGGTGCTGCACTCAAGACTTTTCTGAACTCAATGCCTTGACTTTGCATACTTTATGATGCCCACTTTGGCAGGAATTCGTGGACTACGGGCAGCTCGGAACTCAGCATGATGTTTGTTCAAGCAGGGCTGGCACGGTGCCAGAAGATCCCACAACTGACTGACGGAGCCTTTGGGGCGACAAAAGGGGAGGGGAGGCAACACGCTCCTTGCATCTCCTTGCGATGGTCGCTCGCAGGTTCACGCTGCCAGAGGACACGATTTTTGATGAGGATGAGTTCATCCGGCCCTCAAAGGCGCCACGAATGCAATTGATTTCTGCAGTGAAGCCGATAGAAGGCATGTCTATGAATAAAGCGGGTGGGTGTATGCTGTGAGAGGCTAGGTTTGACGTCCGCGCCTCTATCGCCGACAGTAAGTTGTAGTGTTCAGGGGCATCTTCAGTTGTATCGGATGCAAGGCTGTATGCGTGACATTAAGGCCAGACAACGGACTTGCAAGGAGTACATCGCAGCAAGCTAAGCTTTGGCGGAGTGCTGGAGGCTCTTGCTCAGTTCACTTCGCCTTTTCCAGCACCTGCCGCTCAGGTCGATAATTCGGACCTGCAGGCAGATGCACCAGGCCTGTTTCATGCGGATCTAATCCTGCTCGGGATCAGGGCTTTGCAGCTCTACTCGCTAGCACGTCGACGGTGAGCTCGATCTTGTAAGCTAAAGCTTGCTGATTCAGGAGCCCAGCTAGTACTTGGATCCTGTACACATCCTGTACTCAGGCGTGGCTTTCCGCTTCAGCTGCCGGCTGGAGGATAGCCGCGGCCCTAACAGCAAGGGTACATGACACGACTTTCTTGGTTTTACGTGTTTTCGGCATGGTGTGCTCTGACCGGAGCATAGAGATTCATAGGGATGTCTTGGCCAAGGGAAATGAGAGGATCATGGAGAAATTGCCAACTGCCAGCACGGTCACCAGCAACAGAATTCTCAGCTGAGGGGATGATGTGCGGCCGGTCGCACAGTGGGGAACCATTGTCACTGGAGAGGACAGGATTCATAGATACGCAGCTGCAGCCTTTATGTAGCTTTTCCTGCCTTGAATGCAGGACAAGGGCGATGGCTGGATTCAGGCAGGTGCAGCGTTGAATCAGAAAATGCCTAGTAGTTGCTCATTGCATTCTTCTTGTGATGGTGCAAGAGCAGAATCCTACACATCTCCCAGGCTATAATTTGCCTACCAGCGTAACATCCTAACGCCTTGCACAGTATTTGTGCAACAAGAAGCCAATGGGAGCGATGGCTGCATGCGGAAGAGTGGGGAAATGTGGGGAACCAGCCAGTGCGTGTTTGCAAGCTGCCCACAATGCAAGATGCAAGATATGTTCCCATGTGAGTATGGCACCGCCTGAAATGCTGGTTTTGCGCGATAGGTTGGTGAGCGGTTTCTTCCGATCGAAGTGGGTGGGAAGAAGGCCATTTGTCAAAGCTTCATTCCTCGATTTTTGCTGACATGGTTTCTGGAGACGATTGCCACCAATCGCTTCTGTAGCAAGTGCCAATGGAATTCTCAAAGAGTTCATCCAGACGGGCAGGAAATGATTCGTGTGATGCTGCCATAGCTACTGTCACTGTGGTTGGCTGGCCAGCGTGCACTGCACAAGGTCTTGCTCGAGCGGGCCCCCTCAAAGTTCCGGGCGGATGATCGCTTTGTGCTCAGGGAAGACAGCTTCGGTTAGCCTTGAAGCTTAGGAAGTTCTGTGCTCAGAGTGCATATAGAAATCTCTTCGCATCCCACCAAGCCCACGAAACTAGATTCGATGGCTGCCTGCGCCTCTTTGAAAAACTTTGAGGTCAGGATGATATAGCCGAGTTCGACGAGGCTTGGGTCTGCGGAGCTTCAGGGATCGCGATGGGGTGAAGCAAGAGTTCGACTTATAGTGCACATATCACATCATATTACATGTTGAATGTGCTGACGTGTTGGATCCAACTGAGCCATTGCCCTGCGTCTCGTCCGAACTTTCACGCTTCCGCTGGCAAAGGAAGAAGCGCCGGAAGAGTCGGCTGAGCCATGGAAAGACCCGCACAAAGCAGGCACCAGACGACCATTGCAGGGTGTATATCTGTGTGTGCATGAGGGTTCTTTGCAATTGCCCCATCCGTTGAAATACATGAAGTTCAGTTGTCGAGTGAGTTTGTGTGTGAGTCCAGATGTTGGGTTTGCCGAAATCTCCGCAGGCAAACAGCGGGAGACTCCAGAACAGCACCTGGCTCAGCGCCTGCCTGCCCTTTTCGGCATGCCTTAACAGGTTTGAATCTGTCCAACCAGCTGAGCAGCTTTGGGGTCAGGCATCAGACATGGATGTTTCCCTCAAAGCTCGCATGGAAGCAAGGCGGCGACAGCGCCTGCAGCAAGCAGAGCAGCGTCGCGCACAAGATAAGGCTCCAGCAGCAGAACCTTGAGTAATATTGAACATGGCCTGCAGCTTTGAATCTCCGATTTGTCCAAGCTCTTGGGAAACACATGTTTGCTGCGGCACCAGTACTTGCCAGGAGCATGGAGAGCATGAGCAGCGAAGCCGGGAACTCCTCCGCAAGCACAAGATGCTCATGCACGAGCTGGGCTCTTAGGTTAAATGGTGACAGACATCAGCTTCAAGTGTCGTCTCATTCCAGTGACATTACAGCTTTACAGTCGCATGTTGGCCGAGGCCGGCTGTCACACACTACACTGCTGATCACCCAGAAAGTGCTCAGAGCTGTTGGGGGAGGGTTGGTCGTTGCTGCATTTGTGAGTACTGGAGGTAGTTTGCCTTGTTGATTTCTCTGAGATACCTGGGACCAGGTCCTTGGCTTGCCAAGAAGCACCTCTCCAGAGGAGATCGAACGAGCATACAAGGCTCCTAGTAAGGGTCGCAACTGAGAAGTGCTATGGTGCTTGCAGAGGGAATGCCTTAGATTGCAAGCGCTAGCAAAGTCAGGCTAGTGCCAAAAAAACACTCCCGGCAAGGAGTGTGCGGGATTTTGCTGTTGAGCTTCTGATTCTCCCCGCCGAACTGGGCCAAGGCATTGTGCGCCAGGTACCATCCGGACAAGGCGGCAAATGCCAACGTGCACAGATTCGGATATGAAGCTTGGTTTTTGGATGTGATGCATTTTGTGGATGTCATGTGGGGCTGAGTTTTGGAAACCCTCTGTGGCATGTCTCGGCAGCGAATTGGTCTCGAGATCATGTGAGTTCCAGTGACTGCAAGCCTTTGCTGACCCTGCACGGCCTGCTCTTCATGGCACTTTTCAATCATGCCACCAGCAGCACTGGCACGAGAAGCTCCGGACAAGGCTGTTTTCAGTTGCAGCAAGCAGCCTTTGCATTGCCATCTGATGAAGAAGAGCTGCGATTCCTAAAGCGCTCGCTGAAAGAGCGCACCGAACTTGCTGGCGAGGTCTCTGCTGTGAAAGGCATTTTCCCACCTTGGGTTTATTTCTACCACGGGGCCAGGTTGCTGCTTTACGTTGCTTTGTGCGCTTTCCACACAGCTTATGCAATCACCTGCTGTGGAAGGGCAACGCAAGGACTGCTCTCGGCCTTTGCACGCGTAACACTCTGGACTGCTCTCCTGGAGATTTGCGGATTTTGCAACATGACTGGTCCTCTTGGAAGAGGGCAAGGCCTTCTAGAACCGCTGTGGCACCGGCTGACGCCGGGCACTCTCAAGCAGCCGCTGCTGCCACAAATTCCAGGCAAGCGCGGGCTCCTCGACCAAGTACTCTTTGGATTATACCTGTGCAGTGCAGGCTGCTTCCTTGTCTCCTCACATGGGCTAGACGAAAGTCTTGCCAAGCTGCGTCTGGCAGTGCTACTACTGAGCATGCTGTGCCTCGTGGACAGGACAGCATACACAGGATCCTGTGGGGCATACTACTACCCACTGCTGTTCTGCCTCGCTGTTGGTGGAGAAGGCCTTGGACCTGCTGGCTGCCAACTGGTCCAGCTAGCCCACCTCTTCATGCCAGGTGTAGCTAAGATGGGGCCTTGGTTTCGCCATGTGCTGCCCAGTATGGTTGGCATTTGCCCTTTTCTGCCGCGTTGTTGCAAGGAGGGGATGTTCAACAGAAACGACCTTGGGCAGTTGATGTTGCTCAGGCCCTCCAAACCCGCCGACATCGCTGCAGCAGGCGTTGTGTTACTGGAGATTGTTTGCCCGGGACTGCTGCTATGTCCCTTGGAGACACCAAGGTTGACAGGTGTGATGCTGGCTGTCGGCATCCACCTTGCCATTGTATTCTTGACTCCTCCAGGAGCGGTTGGTGAGTGGAATCTCTTCAATGCAGCAAGCACCGCATACTTGTTTGGCACTGGCATGCAGCTGCCAGAGTTGGCAGCACTGGCATCACCCTTGATTATCGTCGTGGCAGCAGCAGTTGTTGGCGGCCCTCTCCTGGCCAATTGGAGGCCAGATGCAGTCGGCAACCACTTTGCGCTTAGAAAGTATACTGGCAACCACCCTTACCACGCGTTCCTGGTTCACAGGTCAGCAGTCCACAAATTGGGCTGCTTCAAGACATTTACACGCTTAGCTGCGGGAAGGCCGACCGCAAATGCAGAGCTTATGTCGCGAGCTGCATTGCACTCACTCATACGCGGGCGTCTGAACCTCCGGTGCGCGCTTGACATCCTTGAAACAGTGCTAACCAGCGATAGGCCCCAACTGCAGGAGGTAGATCACAAGCAACTCAACCGCCTCGACGACCTGGTTTGGTTCGACCTGGGCTTTCTCTTGTCTCAGACCTTGCTGGATGTTTCATTCTTAGACCAACGGCTGCTGGAAGAACTTCGGCAGGCCGGCTTCGGGCCAGCTGAGCTGTACTCCTTCCGTGTGTCATCCTTCCCAACCTTCTCGCTGTGGCCGCATGAAGCACCGTGGGAGCTTTTGGATGTGGGAGCTGCGCAGACGTTGGCCTGCGGCCATGTTAGGGCCGACGAGACCTTCACCCTCGTCTACAGAAGCTCTGGTGCCTCCTCGCCACTGCTCGCAGATACAATCATGACATGACAAATCATCGTCGTCACGTCATCATCACCATCATCATCATCACACGGGCGAGTGCATCATAGTGACAAGGAAGGCTACTCTGGCGGCAAAAAAAGACTCAACCTAGGGCCCTGATGGACGCCCTGACGCAGAAATCGCCTTCAGCTACTGCAAGTGTGACCCTCCAGAGGAGGGCACCAAAAGCTGAAGACTTAGAGCCAATACCATGCAATCCTATTCCCAAGATCAAACAGCCGCCCCTGCTTCCCGCTAAGCCAGATCTCGGAGACATGCATGCGCAACTTGTGCTAGGGGAGTTAGGGCAACGCTGAACGACATAGACCTCCCGGAGCTTAATGAAGCCCCTACATAACCCCTACATTCGACTTGTAAAGGCCTCACCTCCCCATCTCAGATCCTGTGGCAGAAGGCTCCACAAGCAGATCGGGCAGCGCGAGCTGCTTTGGAGCGGTCGATGGTGGCAAGCCCAGGCTTGAAATCGCCGCCACCAGCATCATCAGTAGGCTTCTGTGCAAGATTATAGCAAGGGGTCCCTTGACTCTCCGTGCTCTACTAACCTCTTCTGGGCTACTATAGTACTGAATTTTCGCGTCAACCACCGTTTTCATTCTTATCCAACCGTTCGAGTTGGAAGCCCCCAGCATTAGGGCCAGTGGGCCGGCGCATGCAGTTCTCAAATTGCAGGTTCGGAGTTCAAGGCGTTCAAGATAAGGTGTGCGACAGGGATTGAGACACCCTTTTTGTTCAGATGGGTCTTCAAGTGCAGACCAGAGACTTGAGCTGCTTTTGCGGAAGTAAGCCGGAGGAGCTACTCGAATGCATGCGCTGTGATTCTGAACAGACAAAGATCCCAGCTTTGACCGGCTTGTCGCTGAGGCAAGAATAAATGAAGCGTTCAGTGTGCTGTCGAACCCAAAGCAGCGCTGGGCGCTGAGCGGCTGTTTCGATTAGTAGTTCCTCTGGCCCGATGCCCGTCTTCTGGGCTTGCGTAGCAGCACTTCCTTCCTCTTTGTTCCAACTCCCTGCCCGCACAACGAAATTGCAGGCTTGCATTGCCATGGGTAACCAACCTACAGATGCCTGACTGGAAGACCTAAGCGCTGCCTCAACTGACTGGCTGCGCCGTGTTGGCACGGATGGGCAACACACTGGAACTCCACGTCAAGCGGAACCCTCTAGCTCAAATCCCAAGAAGAAACCAAGGCTGGAATTATGACCGGTCACTACCAACCCCAGAGGAGAAGGCCATCGTGCATAGGCGTTTAAGCACCATCAGGTCGCGCAGGGTGCCTCAGAAATGTTGCATGCATCTCAATCCCAGTGCCCGGATGTTGCAGGCTGAAGCTACGGAACACCTCCGCTCAGCCCTGCCCCCAGTTCAATCTGAGTCTAGTGAGCCTTGGCTCACTTGGAAAGTTCCACAGCTTTTGCTGGACCGCGATGATGTAGTTTTGTGCCCACTTGTCATGGTAGACTCTCGGCTTGGTCCCCAGCAAAGACAGCCAAGCTGACCCAGCAAAATCTAGAAACGTGACTCCATTCAGGTGGTTCAACCTGGTCGAGAGCTTGCGGTGATAAGCTCAAATGCGGTTGCATTGGGGATGCTGCGAGGGCTCGTTATGGCTCCCAAGCACAGGATGACCCACCTTCCGTCAGTATGGAACTACTTGAAGGCAAATTGTTTGCCTCAGGATAGCGGCGCAGATGCTGACTTCGATTTCTCCGGTGATGGCAGGCAAGCAAGGGATCGTGGGGGGACACTTAAACAGTAAAGGGCATTGCATAACTGGAACCTGGCAAACCATCAAAGCCATCAAGTCACCCTTGAAGCCGAGCACTGCATGACTCGCAACATGCTGCTTTTTCGTGTCTTCTTTCGAAAAGCGTTGGCTTTGCTTCCCAAACTCCAAGCGAGCTCTTCAAGCAGGCCATTCCGCTTTTGTCGGGGGAAGGCTGCGCGAGTGGCGCAGCTCTGTGGCAGCAGAGAGAAGGCTGGAAGTGATCTGTGCCGGAGGCTATGTGTTATAGTTCTACGCATTCTATGCCCTACGCATGGCGCTCAACGTGCTCCAGAACTTGCTAGGTGCGCATTGCGATGAACCAGCTGGTGAAAGCCTCGGTTCATGTCTTCCGCAAAGTGCCAGTTTCAGTGCATTCAAAGACCCTGTCTCTCCTCATGGCTGAGGTGGGCAGAGCGCCCATGAAGCTGGCTGACTGCAGTGGTGCCAGCTTCTCAGTCTCCTCTCCCGGTGAAATCGCCTCACAGCCCACATGACATGCTCCAAATTCGTTCGCAGGTCATCCGGCACGTGGGGCCGATGACCCCCTTTGGCGGCTTAGGTGAGTTTGGAGCACGGAACTTTTAGAACTAGGTGTGCCCAAGCCCCTACCCATTGCAGTATGACTGACACTTAGCTGCCAAGGTGTGGCCATGCCAACTGCATGGCCCATCGTTTGCGAAATCCAGAGGTGCATCTCGGGTTCAACGTGCCAGCAGCAGCAAGCACAGCTACTCGCCGCATTTCGTTGGCCCTGGGGCATGTCTGACCTTGGCAGATTCGCGCTGGCTTCCGAGACTTCGTGGCCAGATTCCTGGTAAAGCTTAGCACGCTACAAGCTTCCCAGGTGAATCATCCAAGCAGCAATGAACATGTACCACCCTTGCTAGCTCATATGTCAAGTGTGCTCCTCTCAGGACCTGCTTCGTAAAGTGCAGCCCCCAAATGCGCTGAGGTCACCAGCGTGCGTGATGCAGCGCGGCCCCCGCACACGCGAGGTAAACCGCGGTACAGTTATATGATGTTATATGTTATATGACTAGCTGACCAGAATGCCAAAGCTTGGGTTGAAGAACTGTGAAATTCACAGCCAGCTAAGTGGTGGCATGTGAATGTAGTTAGCGGTTAGTGCATCCATGCTTGAGGACTAAGCCAGGTTATGTTGCATTGACGCAGCAACACAGCATCAGGTTCGAACCAGGACAGAGTGGTGGGGCTCCGGAGGACCAGCGCTGCAGTTGATCGATGCCGTAGAATCATAGAACGTAAGCTCTGCACTGCATCCAGGCCTGCGGTATACATCCTTGGGCAGCGGTGAACTCCTCTTTGACCTGGACTGCCGCTGCAATCTGAGCCCTCTGCACATGCAAGAGCTGCTCTTGCAATTAAGGATGGTTTTCTATAAATGTGTCAAAATTCAATCGATGCGCGCCACCCGCCTTGGTACAGCTGTACATTCCCGTGCCAAGGAAGCGGCGGTCAGGACATCAGCTGTGCTGGAAATGTAAAACGGTTAGGCCTAGGCTGCAGATTTCCACAAAAACAGCCCGAAATGAAGGAAAGAGCGGGGGGTGTCCGGTCGGGACGGGTGCAGGGGTAGGCGGAGGGGCAGCAGGTTGTTCCTGTAGGAACCTCTGGATGTTCAGCAGGGCCGAGTCGACTTGATTGAATCCATCTTCTGAGGACACCAAACCAAGACACACGCCACAAGTTGCAGCCTATCCAGTCCACACTTAGTCCGTCCTTCCGTTGACATGCGATTCTCCAAATTAGGGATGCCTTTGTTGGACAGAGCCCCTCCAGCAACCAACCGACAGGAGCTCCTGGAAAGACTTCGGGAGGAGGCACGCTGCAGTGAGTTCTTACTGCAATATTACTGCTAGACTGGGTGTGCAGTTCAGTTCGTCTCAGCAATTTCCTATGCAATGCGCGTCTTCGGTAGACAGCTTTGGGGCTAGGCAGGCGTGCAGATTGCGCAGATCTGCTTGATTGCCGGATCCTGAGATGCCACCACCAGGATGCAGTCAAAGACTAGCAGCTGGACTTGCATTCCAAGGATAACGGATATCGACAGCCCAGCGGCAGACCGAGACTGTTAGCTTGCTGAAGCGGTAGCATAGCCGTGAAGCCGAGAAGACTCCTGGAAAGCTGGCAAACAATTGCGTCAATTGGGTGGGTGCCCGCAGCACATGCAAAAGATTGCAAAAGACAAAGGTCCTCGTAGCTAGGAGCCTTGAAGGTGGTTCCTACACGTTCCTATCTACCGTTCAAGACGATTCAACATGCTTGGCTTGATCTGAGGCCTGGCGACGCGACGTGCTCTTCGCGAGTTCGCAGACTGGCAGCGCGCAAGTGTAACACCTGCCCGCTTGACTCAAGATCTCAACAGCAGCAGCAACCGCCCCAACATGTCTCGAAACACGAGCGGCAGGCACAGATGAGACGAGCACAGCCCTGCGAAATTCTCGTGTTCGGACACTTAGCTGATTATTCCGAGGCCGGCTGCTGTATGTAGCTTACCACAGGCACCAGGATTACTACCACGCTTCAGCAATCAACCCAGCCCCTTTAATGCTAGGCTTCACACTTGAATGTGCGCAGGCATCAGCCAAGGGTGGCCGCAGTGCTCTCAGCTGCTTTATTTGGCCACCAACTTACTCCTATAGAGTTCAGTGAAGCCCTGCACGTCTTGGGAACTCGAAGCTGTGCCTGTCCGTGCAAACCCAAGCCTCTTTCCCTCCGCACGATTTGATGCATACCTGTCGCAACTGGCTGAGGTGCTGCAAACTGCCATGTCTTCGTACAGTGCGACACGCGCCTGGGCTGTTTAGGGCTTGCCTCAAGTTGCTATACGCAAAGTCATCCCAAAGCGGTTCAGTCCAAGGCACTGGAACGGCTGCGCAGGCGACTGCAGTCGGCTGGCAAGCCGCGAGCACGGTGTTGGGTTTCATGATGGGATTGGATGGAGGCATGACTTCCGTCCAGAGCCACCCACAAGGGCTGGATAGCGCTGGCATATCTACTGTCGACTCCACATGCTGATAAGGAGTTCATTTATGGACGATGCGCCATCCTCCGGATGCTTCTTGTAAGTGGGGACAGGACACGACCACAATACCCTCTATATGAGTTCTGCAATTCCAGCAAGTTTGTTTTCCTAGCTACAGCCACAAGCAGCAAGAGAATGACCAGAAGAGTGCCAAGCCACCAAAGTTGTTGGCAGACTTAGAGCATACCAAGAACCCAGCAATGACGAGGCAGCCTTCGAAAGCACAGATCCGATCAACGTGAATACATAAAAGAACCGGAAGGGAGATACATGACTTTGCATAAGTGGACCCTGCTCAAAGCAGTTTCAGTGGTTTTGAGCGCTCAGACATGTACTCGTTAATTATGCGTGGACCAGCAGAGGCTGTAACATGGACCACAGAAGCAGCAAGCAGGCATCACGAGTTTCAAACCTCGCCAGGTTGTGAGCACTGTTGGCACTTGTGGCTGAGGCCGTGCCCTTTGCAAGGATGGCGTGTTGGCACGACTGGCAGAAAGCACAGGCAGCGCATAGGACCTCAAGCACTTTATGAATCATCGCGGTCCAAGATCGTCCAAGCAAGCCAGCCGACATGTCCTGAGAATTGTAGTGTTGACAACAAGGGCCTCTTCATTCCTGGGTATTCCCGGCCACCTTCAGAACAGCACGAGACAGAACAACTCAGTCAGCGTCGGTGCTGCTGGATCACTTACTGTCAAAAAATAGACTGACATTTGCGGACAAAGAAAGAAACTATCCTGTGGACTCCTCAACTTTAAATTTATGCTGTGACAGATGCATTGCACGCAGAGATGCCGAAGGGCGTCCTAGTGTCGGAGCCTCAGGGCGGAGTGCGCTCTGAACCCAAAACTGTGTCATGCTGTGCTGTCGCCCCGCCGCCTAGGAGCCCCTTTCAGGGAGACCTAGAGACTCCGCAGGCCTGACAAGATTTTTGGATTACATAAGGCCGTTTGTTCAGTTGGTGCTTGTAGTTGGACCACGGCAGGTAGACGGCCATGTGTTTTGGTACATATTCAGCATCTTGAGGGTGGGGGGGGAAAGGAGACCTGTAAAAAGCAGCACTTTATGAACTTTCTCACCTCCTGAAGTGACTTTCGTGGCACGGCCGTCTATGCGCCGTGTTCTTGTAGTTTGTGTCATCTTCTTTGACAACTGTATGGCCCCTCGGCTTGGGGAATCCAGATTTGGGCTAAGAGGCTGGTTCAGGGGCCGTTGGGGTGCTGAATATTGCCAACGTTCTGAGCAGGCGCCCTTTCTGTATGCAATGTCATCTTCCCACCCTTCCATCTGAGTACACTGTCGCTTAAAGACCGTTTCCACGAGGCAGCAAGGTCCCGAAATACTTATCTGACCAGATAATGCGTTGTTGTCAGGAGAAGGAGGTCCAAAGCAGCCCGGCCCTGAGAGTGCATTGCCATCGGCACAAAATCAAGCACAGAACCTAATTACCTTTTCCCCCGTGAAGGTTGCAGAACTTTCTGTTCTACTGCATTTGAGGTGAATGTATAATATAGGGCCTTCTCATAATGCTACAGGGTTCGCGTTTTGTTCAGCGCTGCAATTCATCGCACTGATAACTTCTAGCTGTGGTGCCCCTGCCGGACACGGACGAGTGTCTGCAGAAGTGATGCATGAAGCCTCGGCAGAGGCTCAGCCATGGTCTTTCTGACCTGAGGTCCCTCCTGATAATTAAAGTGCACTTGCAATACGCGCAGTCCAGGTAAGAGTGACAGTTCAGGCGACCCTTCTCGTGGAATGAGCATTGCCTGCGCTGGCGGCCTCCATGCGGCGGGCTACCCAAGAATGTAGAGATCCAAAAAGGGATGTTTTGCATGTTATTGACACAAAGCCGAGCAACCGTTTCACGGAGACATTTGAAGAGAATTCAGCACTATTTCAGGGCGAGCCCTTCTTCTCGGCAGCAGGGGTCTCAGCGGCAAATCGCAGAAGGCAGTTAGCAAGGCCTACTAGCCTGGCCAGGGCAATGGTCCAATGGTTTGCCTTACGGAACCTATAAGCTAATACCCTGAAATATTGCGCGTGCTTCTTGACTAGAACACCCGGACAACATATACCATGTGCCGATAAGGCCTGGACACTGGTGGAGTGGCCCCCAGAATTCTTTAAAACACCTTCGCTGCAGCCGAAAGAGCACGCACTGCCCATGTCTCAGATAATGTGCGCAACTCCCCGCTTGTAGGGGCTACAGGCAGGCTTGGAACCTTGCGCTGCAGGCTCAGCCGGCGTGAAGAACTCTCTCGTGCGAGGCTTTTCGCCAAGGACCGTTCTTTATTCAAACATCCTTTGGCCAAGCTTCAACCACATCTAGTGTTTTTCGCACGGGCTGATAATGCATATAGGTGACAAACCAAAGTTCTGTGGCTTGAGCTTTGTGGTAGCAGACAAGCAGAGAGAGACGGGAGCAGAGGAGCATAGACTTTCCATGTGGCGGGTCATCTACAAGCCACGTATTGCTGCTTTGACCTCAGGCATTTGAGCAGACTTGCTTGGCACAGTTCTGGCAAGCTTGTACAATCCTAGTTGGCCTGCAATTTGCCATTAAGGTGCGCTCTGCACCTGATCCACAGGCGACGATCTTGCTTGCCAAAGCACGGAACTGGCATTTTGCTGCTACTTCGGGCATGCTTGGGAAGTGTCGCCACTCCCGCCAGGCACACGTCCACCAATGGATGTCCCTGAAAAAGTCACAGCATCCCTGAAAAGCTTTACGGTGCTTTTGACTTCACATGCTGAAGCCAGGCTTCCATTGTGGATGTTTTTTATGCCGGAGACGAGTTGCTGTCAGCCCTTGCCCCAGGTTTATGATAGGCAGTATCAGGCGCAGTGTTGGCACCAGCTAGTGTCTACAGTCGGTTCTCCCCAACCCTAATTGTTTGAACACCTCTGCATCCCAACACTGTATTCCTTACAATGAAGGCTTCGCCAGTGACGACTTAGACATGCCAGCCAGTTGGATTTCTTGCAACACCCATTTTTCAAGACTGAGCGCTCCCTTGGCTGCAATGTCTTTGCAAGGTGCCTGGAGACACCAGGGGCCCATGGCTTCGGCTTGCTAAGGCACATTCCAAAGATCTGGCTCAGAGCTTTGCATGAATCCTTAGTTGCATCCTGCGCAGCTATCTGAGAGGCATGGCATAGATTTACTGCACTGGTCATGTTTGAGCTGAAGGAACGCCTCCGTGGTTTCAACGAACTCCAAACCAGCCAGAAGCTTCAAGCCTAGCCAAAGTCTAGAACCTGGAGTCAGCAAAAGGATTTGCTTTAACTCTTGCTGCTAGAGTTTGTCCGAATTGGAGGGCTGATGGGTTGCCAAAGCTTTTTGTTTACTGCTGAAGCTTGCAGCACCTGCAGCCAGCAGCCTATGCCTACGCAGGCCAGTTGGCCAAGCACGACAGATGCTCCGGAAGAGGCCAGCAGTCAACGCACGTTCCGGGATCTAAAGGCTGACGGTTCCTGGAAATCAGTGGTTTTCACGCGCGGTTGTTGGAGAAGTCTTTCCCCAAACCGAAACAATATCCTTTCCCGACCATGCCCAAATCATAACGACGTCAATTCATGACTGCACCCATTTCCCAGCCAAGATGATGTGCATTCCTGAAAGCAACCATTTCCCAGAGCAACCGTGCCCAAAGTTTGTGAACGGTTTAAGCGCTTCCTCGCTGAACATTGCGATTTGAGACGATACTTGCCAATGTGGTAGTGTATACGAGTTCTTTGTGCAAACCCGCAGAGCTTACTTTGCGTCCCGGAATTCAGGAATTCATGCCTTGCAAATCCTGAATCCCCCACGCCTGCAGTGAAGCCTTGCGACCCATTCAATCCGAGCAAATGTTGTGGGCAGGCTTTTTTCTTGAGGATATGAGCGGAACCTAGGCTTTGCATTGTCAAATTCGGGTCAAAGTCTTGTTGACCTCCGTTTTGGAATGAAGAGGAGGCGTGGGTGCTTCACGATGGCTCCGCTGCTGGTCTCGGAGCGCTTGTGGAGGAAGCGCCACCCTTGGCATCAGGAAGAACTTGTGAGATTCAAGCTAGCCATTTGGAGGTTTCACAAAAATGCTTGCTGAAGGGAGCATGCAGAATACTAAGGCGGACCTTATGTGTGGAAATATTCATTTGGTGACAACAGGCTTGGTGCTCTAACCAGAAGGCACATCTGGCTGGATGAGACCGTTTGTGATTCCGCGCGGCTATGCTTCACTTGAACCGTGGGGAGGACATTCATGATTTTTGTTTCGAATTCCGCACTCACAGAGCTTTGATCTCGAGCAGCTCAGGTCTATACCCCACCGTGAGCCGAGTTCTTGCCCAGCACTGCTCCAGATGTTCTTCCTCGAAGAGCGGGGATGACATGTGGGCATCGTGCAAGGTAGAAGTTGCGCAACTGTGCAAATCTGAGCGTGGGGACAAAGTTGGCGCAAACTTGCCAGGAAGGCTTTTCCAGCATGTCCTTCAGTGACAGAGCAGTCTCAATTGCGCGTTGGCATGAACAAACACACATCGACATGCCACAAACGCAAAGAACACTGATGTGTTCGATTGTTGGTGCTGCACAGTGCATGGATATTATGCTTGTGGGATGTGCTGTGAGTACAGAGCAACCTCCATTTCTCACTCCAGTTTTGCTCGCTCCATGGCTTTGGCTCTGGTACTGGTAGACCTTAGGCGTAAATGGGGCCAGCCACCTGCACCAGCGAGCCAGGTGACCGGCCGCAACCTGATTTGTGCATTGGCAATGAGCCTTGGTGTTTTGCGGATTGGGTGAATCATTGAGTTGCTGCCATGATTTTGAATGCTGAACACAGGCTGTTGCTGGCGCTGTAGAGTTTGATGCCTGGCCCTTAGCTTGCCAACTCAAATGCTCCAAGCCCGCGTCGTCATGCAGAAGCAAGTCAGAATTCCATTCGTCAAGCTCAGGGTATATGGCGGAGGAGGACGAGGCGATGGACAATGGACTTCAAAGTAAGTAATGAGAGTGCAAGCAAGCCCGCTTGCTTGGATCCTGTCTAGCGTGCTGTCTGTAGTGAATTGCGCTTTGGCTGGGGCGGAGAGTCTGCGAGTAAATGCGGTTGCCCCTTTTGCATTTCCATGCCAGATCCTTGTATGTTTTGCGGACAGGCGAATTACGACGATGACGAGCATGACGAGTCCTAGCCTCGTTTTGTTTGAGTTGATCACCTCAAGGGGCTTGTCATGGATCATTGCAACACAGAAGTCCTGAGATTGTGGGGCTGCAAACCACTGCATCTAGCGAAGGAGTTTTCTTCCGCAGAAACAGCTTCTGTGGGGCTTTCGTCCATACCAAAGGTCACCTTGACTGCAGCCTGCAGGCCCGAAAATGGCGACAAAGAGGATCCCAAGCCGCAGGAGACTGCATGTGCATCAGCGCATTTTCCTACGTTGCAGCTCTGGGGTCAGTCATCCTGTTGAGTTTGCGGGTGCGCAAGTGTCAGTATGTGTCAGATTTGATTTTGCACATGACCGCACTTCGCTAGAGGTGGCACGCCAGGCCCGTCATCAGTGGACGCAGTACCTTCCGATTTGTGCCCAATTTCTTGAAGGTTCCCCTGGCCCAAGTGGCTGCGAGTAGGTACAGCCCAGCGTGCAAAGAAAGATCGTTCTATTTGGCAGCTTTGCAAACTGCCTCCCTTGCACAGAAACAAAGTGACGAACTGCAGAAGGTTCCCATAAAGCAAATCAAGACGACGAAGGGCATGATGACTCAGTGCGATTGCATTTCGCATGCAAGTGCTGGTCTGGTGTCCTTCAAAATTTGTGAATACTGAGCCATCTCAAGGCCAACGAGTGTAGCCTGAAGAAATGATTCCTGGCTGCCGCAGGCTCAACCAAAGCAGGGTGCCAAGAAGCGGCGACGTGGTGGGAGAGGCAAGGCCAAGGCCCAGCCGCCCCAAGACAAGGTGGGAGGGGTCTGACTAAAGGTCTTCAAACGGGTCATTATGAGGCCCACAAGATGTCTTGGGATTTGCCGGACATTAAGAGCTGTAGTGACTTTCGCGTAGTTTCACAATGGTGGCCTCGTGGGTCAAGGAGCTCTAGGAGCCTCCAAAAAGCAAGAACAGCCTCTTTCAAGCAAGACTACATGTCGGCGCTGCTTTCTAGCACGAAGAAAAGGAGGACGCGAAGGAGATCCGCCTTCCTGAGTCAATTAGCTTGCGCAGGACGTCGGAAGGAAGAGCCAGCCAGAGCGTGCGACGGCTGCAGAGACCATAGCTCTCTCCTCAGGTGTTGAATTGCTGAGCAGGAATGGTTGGCTGCTGCAAGTGGCTGGAGCAGTTGGTTTTCAATGCTGCTAGCGCTAACCTTTCGAAGCTCTTTCCCACGAGCAGAGGAATGCTCAGCATTCCGGCGTGAAGGGAACGCCGGCCCATACCGGCCCCGAGATCCAAAGAAGACCCCAAGCACGCGTAACCCGGATCTTGATGAATAATCCAATGAGATTTGGTAATTTGTGTGGCAAGCTTCCGGTCACCAAAAGCTGGGAATGACTTGGACGTGTCACTCCAGTCAAGTAGAGCAATCAGTTGCAGGAAACCTCGAACCCACCACAAATTTTTCCGTCACTGTACAAGATTGCCAGGGGCGCTCTATCCTCACGGCAAAGATGAAAAAGACAAAGATGTGCGAGTTCCACAAAGACGGAAGGCGCCACTTTGCAAATGCAATTCTAAGAAGAGAGTTATGGTACATGGTGGAAGATGCAGGTGCAAGTACGGCTCAGACTGTGCTTTTGCACACGACGAGCCGTCGCCCAAGCTTTGCGTGGCAAAGGTGTTTCAGCTAGGTGAGTTGATGAGAGACAGCGTGGTGTAAGCGCCCAGGCTTCAAGTTGAAATTTGCAGCTATCTTGTACTTGACGTCACCTGCCACATCACCCACTGTTGAAGCCGCAATCTGCACCTACAAGCCTATGGTGCCGAAATGCAATCACGGGTAGGCGCGTTTGTGGACCTGCCGCTGCGAGCGGCGAGACGGACACGCAAATTTAGCCTTAACATGCCTTGACCATGAGTGATGGCCGCGTAGATTTCCAAACCGTGCTTGGCGTCAAACTTTGATCTGCGGCTGTGAAGTGTTGAGGGGGCATCCTTGCAGGTCAGAGTTGCAGCAGGCCCCGGATCTGCGAAAAACACGGCTGTGTCGCACACTTACTTTGCTGTCATCCGCGTCGTCTCGACTGCAACTTTTATCAGAACAGATGCTGGACCACAGTGCTGCTGGTGGAGCTTCAGCATTCCAAGAAGGCCATTATAGATTTGTTTTTCAGCATACGCCAAGGTAATGAACTACGTGAACAAAATTGCCATTGATCAAGTTCAAAAGTCAGAAGTTTTGGAGCTTGGCGCTATTCAGTCTCAAAGACTCATCCAGGGCTGGCATTATTATCATGAGCTCATGCATGAAAATGGTGCGAAGCAGGTGCTCTGGCATAGCTTCGGAGAAAAAAATCGCACCATTCTTGGACAAATGATGTCAGGAGGACCCTACCTAGTGTTTGGTCAAAGTTGTTCCTCAAGCCCAGATTGCTAACGGCAAAAGCCTGACATGGCCAAGTAAAAGCGAGTCCAACTGGTGCCAAGGCCGTGCGTTTTTGTCGGGGACGGCGTCTCAGAAATCAGATTGGCATGTTTTCTGGTCATGCCGCATCTTGGGCAGGGCTAGTCAGATGCATGTCCAGCTTCAAAGGCCAACAGAAAAAAACCTGGACTAGTCAGACATCCGGTCCGGATTCAGCAAAGATGAGCTTGACAAAGAGCAGATCGTTTGAGGGCAGAGCTGCGGAGCTGTTAACTTCACATGTTCTTCTTCACGAGCGGCTTGAATCCCCTCCATGCCTGAGGAAATGCAGCGATGACCAGTGCAAGTTTGCACATGGCGAAGAAGAGCTCAGAGCCGGGACCTCGGTGTTGAGCAGTTGCGAGGCCTCCAAAGTCTCTAAAAAAGGCCATAGGAGTTAATGCGGTCATCATTCTGATGATCATCGTCGCGATAGTTAGCGACAAGATCATGACGCTACTTGTGGGTTGTACTGCGGCTGGTATGCGCATTCGAAGTTTGAGGGGATCACTATCATTTAACATTGCCCGGAGGGACATATGTCCCGATCCATGTTTGGTGTGAATGGTGTATGCATCCCGTCAAAAATGCAGAGCGGTTGATTTAGCTAGGACCAAGATACAGCTAAACTGCCACTGTGCAACTTGAGCACCCAAAGGGTCCGGGAATCAACTGCAGTCGCCAGATGTCGCCAGAGCTTGCGACCCACTGAGGCTTCCAGCATATGTTTCAAAACCGTCTGGTGGCCCAGAGTTTCAAGTTCACGCGGCTGCGGCTTGCTTCCCCACTGTTTTAGGGTGGTTTGAATCGCTCAATTTTGCCTAGGCCCTCTGCACGTGGCACGAGAAGGGCAACTGCCAAAGCGGCTCAGCGTGCCATTGCCTCAAGATTGCAAGCGCAGGTTTGCTACGGGGGCCGTTCTTGCGGGCGTCTCTCGCAAAATGCAGGGGTGCAAGTACGAAGTTCGAGCGGACGAAAATGTATACCAAAACGAGCTCGCGCCAGGGCGTCGAGGCTCTTGCGCAAGGGTCAGATTATTTTCTTTTCCTTTTTGAGCTGATGTTCTCAAATCCAGCCAGCGCGAGAACCGCGCAAGGGCGAAGCACAGGCATTCCTATTATAGTGAGTGCAAAATACAAGCAAAGAGAACAACCCCTACTGCGCGTTCCCTGCCCAACAGCGAGTGGTTCTCATTTTGCTTCGCAGAAGCAGACGAACTGTGCGTCACCAGCGTGCGATTCGAGCGCAGCACCAGCGGGGTTGCTGTATGCTCCGGGCTTGGCCAGTGCTTCGCCAGAACATTTGGACTTGTCGAGGCCGCTTCGCGCATGGTGCTCGGACCTCAGCACCTGCGCCGCGCAATTTCGTTGTTGCTCAGACAGAATTACTGTACACAGAGTACACGGCTTCAAAAGAAGGAACGGTGAAAAGTGGCCATCAAGAGTCCCGAGACTTGGCTCATCTCCAGGTTGAGGAGCTTCGGGATGATCCTGATGCCAAGGCGTGAAGCTTGTCACTCATGGTAGAGTATGCAGGCAGGAGGTTGCAGCAACCTGGCACACAAGCTCGGGAGCCGCTACAGGCCTATTACCTCGGCTGTTTGGATTGAAGCTCCACAATTTCCTGTTTCCTGCTGAAGCGCACTGTTGGGGTGTCCCAAAGCAAGATGGACCAGGGGACTGGGGATTTCGCTCCATCCCGCATGTTGAAAGCGGTAAATATTGATCGAGGCCGCTGTCGAGCTGGTTCCTCAGCAATGCTGTGGAGCTCACTGCCGAACTTCAGAAAAGTAAGCTTCTTCATCAGGGTCGAACTCCAGGAAAAACAGGCTGCAACGTGCATACTGTGAACCTTTGCTAAAGCTTCGTGGACCAGGCAAGCGCGGAAACGGCTGGCTGCCGCTGTCCCGCGCTCAGCCTAAGGAATTCCTACAGGTATGTTGTTATGCATGCCGCATACCCAAAGGAGGCTTATAGTCCTGGGAATATTACGGAGTGAGCAATCCTTTGCACTGTTTCGGGCCTGACGTGGATCAGGCTTCTTGGACCTCGCCAAACCTAGCGTATCCCAGCTGTTCCGCTTACGCGGTTTGTTGAACTCCGCAAGCTCATTTTCAAATTGGCCTGGCCTCTCCAAATTTGAGCCCTCATCGTGACCGCAATTTTTCGGCTCAAGCCATGAAAAGATAGGGGGCGCGAGGCACCCTGGGCAGTCCTTTTGGGCCCAAAGCGGGTGGAGCTCACTGCATTCAGCTATGTATGCTCGCAGGGTGCGAGGTTAGAGGTTCTTTGCAAAAGCTTCAGGCGAATTGTGCAGAAGTGAGGTTTGGTTTGGGATGCAGTGTACCAATGTTTTTGGAGTTGGGTCAGTTGGGTCCGGCCATGAAGAGGGAAGGACGCGGACAACCCAGGGTAGGATCCAATTGGATCACAACGTGCACGTACAAGTGGCTTTGCTAAACCAATCCAATCAGTACTGGGTAGCCGCCGGCACATGAGATCTCGAGCAAAACGGAAAGTTGGCATGACTCAGCGTCATGGCAAATGGCAAGAAACTACAAGATTGATACCCACTACTGGTTACTGGCCCATGTTTATGCATGCCTCATGCCATAAATCTTCAAAACTCAACGCGTGCAAAACCTTGACTCAACATCCTGCAAAGCCAAGCCAATTCTTGGATTCATAAGTAAAATGAACCCACCTTATTGGCACTCCTGCCACCTGCCCCAAATGTGCACAAAGAAATTCCAACTGCAACCTCGAATGCTCACAGGGATGTCGACGGAGGCTGCCTCGCGGAAGCGCAAGGCGGAGCCTGAACCCGCCGAGGCAAGTTAATGGGGTCAGCAGTCTAGCTGTTTGGGATGCAAACAAGCATGAGGAGAAAGGATTCAAGTCTTTTGCCGCGTGAGTTCTGAGCCTACATGCCGTGGAAACATAAGGTCGTCGTTACCTGCTCAGCCATGTTCGGTAGAGAGCAATTGAAGGTTGTAGATTTGATGGTGTTTTGGAATGGGAGGACGGGAAATGACAAAGGAAGGCGATATACAAAGATTTGTTCCGGAATTAGCTCTGAGGACCTGGGGCTCGGTGGGCTTTATGACTTCCTTCCCCCTCCCGATCCCGAGAAGGACAAGGCGGGATGCATGCAGCTTTTTGCCGAATAATAATATTGATAATAAGAATAGTACTAATATAGATAATTAGTAGACTCGAGGTGAATGTAAGATTGTTTGCACCCAGCAAGCAATTGGCACTTCGCCAACCACACAGAAAGCATGTCAGCGCCGCCGAGGCTACAGCTGCCAAGGCACGGAAAGCCGAGCAGCAACCTCCTTAGCATGCATGGAGCTTGAGGGCTTTCCCATGGGTTTTGTGGATAGTATAGGAAGCATATAGGGATTTTATAGGGATACTGGAAGGGAAAATGGAAGCTCTCTTTTCTTTGCAGCTTGTCTGGCTGCTTGCTTATTAGTACCATAGGGGTGCTGGTCCTGGTCCTGGTCCTGGTGGTGGTGGTCGTGGTCCGTGGTCGTGGTCGTGGTCGTGGTGGTGGTCGCGGTCGCAGTCGCGGTCGTGGTCGGTGGTGGTCGTGGTGGTGGTGGTGGTGGCGGCGGCGGCGGCGGTGGCAATGTTGAGTTGCGGTTGGAGTGGTGTAGCAGCTGCTGCTGCTGCACCAGTCCTTAGTAAATTAGTACTTGTGCTTTTTGTGTCGTTCATTTTTCAATGCTTCTATTGCTGCTGTTTTACTACACTAACTTTGCCTTTTGCAGGTGGTACTGCGCCTCTCAAAGTAGGTAGCACAGGTTACACCCAAGAACAACTCCAGTCGTGAAAGCGACCACAGATCAGGCTAAGCACGCGGCCAAAACTTCCGCCCGTCGACAGGCTCTCTGCTTTTGCCGCGGTTAGTTGCAGAGCCCGCAAGGGCCAGCACACAAATTTGAAAAGTGTGCAGGTTATCAATCAATCAATCAATCAATCAATCAATCAATCAACCTCATGGACGTCATGCGTGTGCTACCTCATTGCTAAAGCATGACCATTTTTGTGCCAGGTCCAGAGTCATATTTCTGGATGTTGATGGTGTCCTTCTCCCAGCCGGCAGCGTCGAAATGCACGCCTGTCTGAATGGAATGTTGTGTGCTTTCTTATCAGCGTGTATGGTCTAGCGGCTCGACTCGACCCCACATGCAGCGCGACGGCAGGATATTCATCGACGGCGTCATGCTGCCTGTGCGGGCGGCAAAAGAAGCGGACTTCAACAGATCCTCACTCGCTATGACCGATGGTCGAAATGCCGACTGGGAATCTTTCGGGCGTGTGTGAGCAGCCAAGGAACTGCGCTCTCCAACCTGCGGGCAATAGTGCAGCAGTCAGATTCCAAGCTTTGCCTCGAAGAGTTGTGCTTCAAAAATGCGGCAGGAATCATGTTGAATGCAGCAATGGAGCTATGGATATTCTTTTGTGGGTTCGGCAGCGTTAATAATGGCAAGCAAGGCTTGGCAATCTTGCTGTTCCCTGTCTGTGGAAAGGAACTCAAAAGCTGAGTTCCACTTGAAGCAAGTAGGGTTTGGTTTCTTACTAGGTCATCCAGAGTGTGCAAAGTTCAGAGAATGCATGCGATGATATCTGCCCCACACGAGGACTGGCGCTTCGATCGTGCTGTCTTCTGAGTGGCGGCGAAAGGAGGCTCCTGGAACTCGGCAACGCCCAGAGCTGGAAATCTAAATCCCGACCCCTTGCATCATGATCATGCTCCTTCTAACGTGCAGATTAAGCCCGATCGGGCATGCAGAAGGCCAATCAGGATACATACCCTGCCGGCCCTCTCCCGACTGCTTCCAGTAATAGCCACGGGGTCTGTGGTGGGTTCTCCTGTGCAAGTTGCGTGATGTTTGACAAGCGAAGTGGGTGCCACATAGGCATGTTAATGTAATACAATCAGACGCAAACAAAACCGCACTGTAAAAATGATCTTCAAGCGCAGCTGTTTGCTGGTGCACGCACTTTATCCCTGCCGCAAGGAGATGAGGGACAACATCCGAAGAACTCTTCAAGCCCAGGTGGGCAGATTACTCCTGTACTTTCAGTCTTACCCAGTGGTCGTAGCCAGTTCCTTATCTCACCCGAGTGTGGTCCCTTCCTTGTCAGAGGCCTTGGTTACACTGTCAGCGGAATGCCAAAATCAAGCTAGGTGATGCTAGGTGTCCAAAGCTGCCAGATCATTTCACGTTGGCCCAAGGACATCCCTGGGTTTCAAGATTCTACACCAATCTTCCAACCCTCGGCAGAGCTGGTGAAGCAGAGGCTCGATCAGGCACTGCCGGGGGGCTTGTGAGTATTGCGCCAAGTGATGTTGCAAGCTTTAGAGACAGTATGTTATTTAGAATCTGAACCAAGATTCAGTTCCAAAGAAAACAAGATATTATCAGGGAAAACATCTTTGACATGCGCTCTGTGTGTTAGCACCTGGGCTCCAGATTCATAATTCGTCCTGCATTTGGGTAGCGAGGCCATCATCTGGGCCGAGCGTCGTGCTCGAGAGATAGGCAACTGGCTGAAGCAGCACAAGGAAGTCAAGGCCATCACTTGTACTGCGGAAAGGACTGTTGTGGTGTGTGTAAGACAGCTATTTCTATCAGGATCCCTGTGCGACAGCTATTTTCCGTATACCATAACAGTCCTTTCCACGTGCTTTATGGTTCTATGAAGGTGTCCTCTGCATGGTTTTCGTTTCTCGTGCAACTAATTGTACCACTCATTGCGTCTGACGGATTGCAACACTCTTTGTTCGGTACTAAACGTTGCCCATCACTACACAATGGTCTTTGCTGCACTTGCTGACTGGCATTTACCGATGATTCTGTGATAGGCTGCTCTACACAGAGGCCACTGTTTTAAAACTATTCGTCCTTGTTTGCGAACAAATGTGCCAGAGACAATAAAAAACAAAAACGAAAGATTTCCGCACTAGTCTCATGATACGAGTAGTGTCGAAATCATTGTTTTTTTTTGTGTTTGTTGTTTTGGTCCCGGTGCGCATGTGTTTTAAAACACGCCGCTCTGAATGTCTATGGGGTCAAAGGAAAACACACCTGAGCTTCCACTTCTCTCAAGTCAATCGTGGTCCTCTTGTATCTTTATTGTGGAGAGGAGAGAAGTCTATTCTGCTGTTGAGAACAAAGCTTTCGTTGTACTGGTAGCCTTATTAGGGAGTTGTTTGGTTGCTTTAACTTGGGATGATTATTGCACCCCTTAGTTGATGACATCAAATAGTCCTAGGGAATCCCATTCGCATCTGGGTGAAAGGAATTGTATGTTTAGGGTGCTGCTTCTACATAGTCTTAGTACCAAAGGATTCGCAAAGTTAGCCTTTTGTGTCAGAATCGAAATCATCTCAATACTTCCAGCAAGTTGTTTGGTTTTAATTTGCAGGATATTTCTCAGATTCTCTTACAAAATTCCCTTCACACAAGCTTTTCCTACATTCACGTTAATGATTAAAATTGTTGGAAAATTGCTTCAAAGTTACAACAGAAATTATTCAATCCAATAGTCTTCTTATTAATATGAATTCCTTACTACATGTGTTGCAAATTCTA